GCAAAATTACAATCACCACCTTCATCAGGGGTGTCCTTCAGATGAGTGTGGTGCTGGGATTTTTATGGCCAGCCACGTTGATACACATTACTGTGGGAAATGTTATCAGTAAGCCAGAAGACAAGTAGTTCTGTATGAATTAATGAAAGGCATGATCTAACATAAATAACTAAATGCCCTAATACTGTTTTTCCAAGGTGTCCTTTAAAATGGCCTTCAACTCAGTGACAATCACCTTTTTTTTTTGAGACAGCCTCAAGCTGTTGCCCTGGGTAGAGTGGTGTGGCATCACAACTCACAGCAACCTCCAACTCCTGGGCTCAAGAGATTCTCCTGGCTCAGCTTCCTAAGTAGCTGGGACTACAGGCACCTGCCACAACGTCTGGCTATTTTTTTTCTTTTTTTGTTTACAGCCGTCGTTATTGTTTGGCGGGCCCAGGCTAGATTAGAACCTGCCAGCTCAGGTGTATGGGTCTGGTGTCTTAGCCGCTAGAGCCACAGGCGCCAAGCCAACAGTCACCATTTTTCAACAGCCACCAGGGGTGTGCCTGGAATAAAGTTACGTAGAAAACGTAGTTATGCCTAGAAAAACTGAATTTGCCAGGAAAGAAATGACATTTTAAGATAGATAATAGTATGTTACAGGTAAATGTTTCCTCTGGCTTAATTTTCATTTTGAAAGGTTACAGAAAAGTCTGAAGTGTCTGAGGGTAGAGGCAGACTAACTAAAAATATCTTCTCTTTTAGAGATGTTAGCAACGAAGTCACTAATCCACAAGAAAATGGGCACTTGCTAAAATAACTTACATTAAAAACCACAAATCTTTCTTTTACACTGTTGGTGGGACTGCAAACTGATACAACCTTTTTGGAAAGAAGTATGGAGAATCCTCAAAGAACTCAAATTAGATCTCCCATTTGATCCTGCAGTTCCATTACTAGGCATCTACCCAGAAGAAAAAACATCATTTTATCTTAAGGACACTTACCTGAGACTATTTATTGCAGCTCAATTTACGATTGCCAAAATGTGGAAACAACCTAAATGCCCACCAACCCAGGAATGGATTAACAAGCTGTGGTATATGTATACCATGGAATGAATACTATTCAGCCATTAAAAGTAAATGGAGACTTTACATCTTTTGGGTTAACCTGGATTGAGTTGGAATACATTCTTCTTAGTAAAGCATCACAAAAATGGAGAAGTAGGCTCAGCACCCGTAGCTCCACGGTTAGAGCATTGGCCATATACACCAAGGCGGGTGGGTTTGAACACAGCCTGGGTCTGCTAAACAACAATGACAACTGCAGCAAAGAATAGCCAGGCGTTGTGGTGGGCGCCTGTAGTCCCAGTTACTTGGGAGGCTGAGGCAAGAGAATTGCTTAAACCCAAGGGTTAGAGGTTGTTGTGAACTGTGACACCACAGCACTCTACTGAGGGTGATATAGTGACTGTCTAGAAAAAAAAGAACCGAGAAGCAAAAATCCAATGTACTACTACCTTCTAATATGAAGGTAGTAGATGATGATTTAATACGAGGTGGGGGTAGGGGAATGAAGGAGCAGGGCTGGGGGTCACCGTGTAGGCACACCTCTTGGGGATAAGACACAATTATAAAAGGTACTTTACCTAACAAATGCAATCAGTATGCAACCAGTGTAACCTAATTCTTTGTACCTTCAATGAATCCCAAACAATAAAATAAATAAAACCACTAATATTTAAATGATACAATGTAACTGTAAAGAATATTTTTTTCAGATACTTATCTTCTATTTGGTTAGCAGGACAGATTTCTCAAAAAGCAGGGTTAACTAGATTCCTAGTAAAGAAATTAATAAAAGAATTTTTATTAAAACAGTTTTGAAAAGAATTTTTTTCCCAAATTGCAGTAGAAAATCAGTTTCAAAGTTACAGCTTTCTGAATTTTCCATTGATCAAACCCACCCTAGGATACAAGGATTTTGATCACTCAGGAGCCCTTCCTGACCTCTAGTGACTGAACAGAGCAAGGTTCAGTTCCTGGCTGCCTTCTCTCTACACCACTGTGGAAGGACTTCAGTACCACTTACCTACTGAACCTATCTGAACATGTCTGACTGTGTCTTCTTGGATCCCAGATTTAGGAAGCCTAAAATCACCTCAGATCACCACCTGGAACCTCTTCCACCCCATCTTCAACTCAGGAAACCCTTCCCCAGGAATCACTCCTGACTTCTGCTGCCCTACTCCCTACGCCCATGCAATCTATCAAGCCCTCTCAGCTCAAACTGTAGCACAGTAGATACTTCACCCCGCAACGTAGTCTCAACCACATCTGCCTCCAGGGTTGCCCAACCTTTGTACTTCTCTGCTGCACTTTGGGAGAAGAGTTGTCTCAGACCACATATTAAATACACAAACACTAACAAAAGCTGATAAGCAAAAAAAAAAAAAAAAAGTCCATGCATAATTTTTGTGATCTCAGACACACAGATAAACAAAAACATCCTCACATGACCAGCATGCAGCCTGGGGCTGCAGGGTGGACACCCCTGGATGGCAGTAGACTCCCTCTGGTCTCTGGGCTATCTTTCTTATCTTTTTTCCCCACAGCCAATTCTCAACACAGGAGAGGGGTAACCTATGAAATCTAAGTCATATCTTCGCACTTTTCTGGCTTCCTATCAAACTGAGAATAAAATGCAAACTCTTTCCCAGAAACTACATAGCTCTTGCCATTGTATTATACGGGGTGTTCCCAAAGTTGCCATATACAGGGAAAATGAAAAATTGTAGCTAGATGTAGATTTATAAAAGAATGGTTACAAAAATTTACAAAATATTCTGTTGGACACTACTTCGTAAAATTTTGTAATGAATATTTTATAAATGAATGTCCATTTAGCTACGATTTCCCATTTTTCCCTATGGTGGTGACTTTGGGGGATACATTGTATGTTTACTTTTTGTTGTTTATTCTAGAACATAAGTTCAAAGAGAGAAGGGACTTTTGTCTTCTTCACTGCTATATCCCAATGCCTACAGATGGGTGAATTAACCAACTTGCTAGACCAGCGAAGATCACTAGTTCTGGTGAGCGTTACGAGGCCCTGACCTGCTTGTAACAAAACTATGAAAACATAAGGGTTTGATTTTTATCAGCATAATTTCGGATCATAACTTAACACGTGAAAGTGTGCTGTGCTCTTCCTGGTTAACTGTAACTCTGGGTGACTATTCATTTCTTTCAGCAGTGCTAGAGGTGTAAACTATACTTGAATAAGTTTCAAGTCACAGGGAGGTTTCGCGCTTGGTGATTACTGCTCCACCACTGTGGCCCTCAGGAGGGGCGACCACGGCCATCTTCGATGAAAGGGCTGACAGCCAGGCAAAGAGCACACGTACAGGCAACGTGAGCGCTGAGAAGGCACGAGTCCGCGCCTGTCTGGGCTGGGACGACAGAACACCACCCATCAGGCGCTCTGTGAGCATCAGAAGGCTGGGAAGCCGGAGACCAAGTCACCAGTAGCTGTGGTGTGTGGTGAGAGCCCACGTCCTCCTGGACAGCCGTCTGCTCACCGCAAACCTTCACGGTTGGAGGGAGGAGGTAGGGCCTCTTTATGAGGACACTAATCCCATTCGTGAGAGCTCTGCCCCCAGGACCCTGTCACCCCCCAAAGGCCCCATCTCCTACTGTCATCACCTTTGGGATGAGATTTCAACGTAGGAATTTTGAGGGAATATCAACATTCAGACCACAGCAGCCTGTGATAGCAAATAGATGGGTTGTATCCTAAAATATGATGTTGGAAGGGCAGCAAAGCTCGAGAGCAGCAGAGAACAGAGTCTCACCTACCTTCCGAACAGTAAGCAGCCTAGCCCCCCTGCCCCACCTGCACTCTGGAAAGCTTTCTGCCTGAGGGTGGAGAATGTGCCAGGAGGGTGAGAAAGGCATCGCCCAGAGGGGACATCAGTTAGGAGGCTCCAGAAGCAACTCAGGCAAAAACTGTGGCTGGGCTTAGGAAGCTGTCCCTTTCAGCTCCAGGCTGAATTACGCAGTTCTGAGGCCTCCCGTGTCACCCAGTTCCAGGATAGCCTGAGTGACAGAGTCTGGCACGCTGACACTGGTGTTACAGATATTTCTTCTGGCTCAGCGCCTGTGGCTCAAGTGGCTAAGGCGCCAGCCACATACACCTAAGGTGGCGGGTTTGAATCCAGCCCAGGCCTGCCGAACAACAATGATGGCTGCAACCGAAAAAAAATAGCCGGGCGTTGTGGCGGGCGGGTGCTTGTGGTCCCAGCTACTGGGGAGGCTGAGGCAGGAGACTCACTTGAGCCTAGGAGTTGGAGATTGCTGTGAGCTGTGATGCCACAGCTCTCTACCAGGGGGATAGCTTGAGGCTCTGTCTCAAAAAACAAACAAACAAAAAAACCAAAAAAACCCCCAGATATTTCTTCTGAAGATCCCTGGAATTCCATACTTAGAAATTCTCAGTCCTGATTCAGTTTTATCCTTATCACATTAGCCTGAAATGCAGTCATTAACCCACTGTTCATTATGTGGTGCCTGCTGCCAGGAGGCTTCACCTCATCTAAGCTGGTCCAGTGAGTTCTCTGAAGGCAGGTGCATCCTAGTATGGCAGCAGTGGTGGGACACGGACACAGGGCAGTATTTATGGGTCCTCTTATACACAGCTACCTCCTTTTCTAAGGTAAGTAAATACCCTTCTCTTGCAGAAGTCTGTCCCTCAGTGGACTGCTCAAACTATTTCTGAACCCGGGAGGCATCTCCCACTCAGGGTATCTTGCCTGTATGTAAATCATTTGTTTAAAAGGAAATCATTAGAAAGAACTCCAAGGCTGAATTCAGAAATGTCCAAATCCTTCTCTAACCTCTCCCACTTCTGCAGGTGCTCCAAGTAGCTCCTCCAGTCTCTGAGAACCCAAATCATCACGTTTACATAAGACCGCATTAATGTTCTGTAGCGTTAATTCTAAGAAACGCCCCTCACCATTTCTATTTGCTTCACCTTTTATTAAGAATAAAATACTTTTTACAAAATCTACAAAAAGGGAACCATGACCAGGGATTAAGTGAACATAGTATCTATTTTTATTATGAAACATTAAATTTTGACACATTGCTTCATTTGCTTTTTAAAAATCTATTATCTGACTTAAACCTATTCAGCAAAAATGACAATAAATTATATAAATCATAATTTGGGTCTTTTAAAAACTAGGAACATAATACGTTTTGTGATAATCAACAATACTAAATCTGAGTTGCATGAGCTGTTAACTTACAACATGTTCTAGATGTTTAGCTTAAAATAAAGAGAAAACCAGCCATGTTAATACACTGTTGCCAAAGTTTCTCAGACTCATCCTCCACATCACCTGTGTGCACCAGCATCCTGCTCCTTCCCTGAGGGACAGAATGCAGCCACATCAGTGTCAAGGCACTCATTCTAAACTGTCCTATGCCGCACGTCTTAGCAGTCACATTGGATGCTGGGCTGATAATACACATTATCTCTCGGCCCCAGGCTATCTTGCCCTTAGGTGAACTCATTTCTTTAAAAGAAAATCATAGGCTAAAAACTCAAATGCTGAATTTAGAAACAATGATTCCAATTCAATACATATTAAATCAAATGTGTTAGTACTTAAAAGTCACAAATCTGAAAAGTAAACAACCAATGAACTAAAGCCAATAGCACTGCCACCACATGCCTTAAAATGGTATATTTTTTGATGCATGAAGCTCTCTGCAAATTGTATTTTGGGACAGTTCAGATGAATTTAAATAAAAGGTATGTATTCTGCATAAAGTTAGAGTTCTAGGGTTTTTAACACGGGTGGCAACATATACAAAGTATATGAATGGTCTTATTAGTGAATGTTTTCCTCTTGGTGTCTAAATCTTTATTTTCTGCAGAGGCAAACCAAAGTACTGTCTTAAGATTCCATCCTCAAAGTTACAACATCATCCCTATCGTTCCTGCAGATTTTAAAGCTAGATACTATCCTGGTCCTTGTCAGCCTCTTCATTTTCATCATCCTCATCTTCTTGGTCTCCGGATTCAACTTCATCCTCTTCTACAATCTAGATTTTAAAAAATGCTATTTAATATTATGAAGATTTGTTAATGTCACATTCAGCATGCAATAATATACACTCTATTGATAAGTTCTATAGTCTAATAATTATAGTAGAATATAAGCCATCTGATTTTTTGATTTAATGCTCCAGGTTTCCTATCATTTTTAACATGAATGAGATCTTATCAGTTAACCCTGCTGATGAAATGGCTATACCTCTGTACACACAACCAAACATGGCAAAAGATAAGGGCGCACTGGTGTGATGACAATTTTGCTGCCATAGAATAGTCAAATCAATTCATGTAAAAAAAAAAATCAATTCATGTGACAGCCTCAAGATCTAAAGAAAATAGATTATGGGTGCTAGAAACTTAATCCATCTCTTAAAAGTCAATTCACTCATCACAGTGAAAGCAATGTAGAGGATACCATATACTCAAGAACCCACTGTGTGTATTATATAGGTGCAACTTTTCCTATAGGTGCTATATTAAAAATATTAAAAATGCATCACAAAGAAACATTATACAAATCATTTTTGAAACATTTTAATCTTACTGGATAACCAAGATCCTTGAGTCTTTTCTTCAGTGACACTATTTTCTGATCTTGTTCAGCCAAGAGAACCAAGAGGTCATCTTGCTCTTTTCTGGAATCTGTAATTTCAGACTCTAATTTGTCCTTCTCGTTTTGTAAGATGGCAATGGTGCTGTTAGATGAATCTAGCTGCTCTTTAATGGCAGTTTTTTCCTCAGACAGAGCTTTAATTTCATTCTAGAAAAATAAGGGTGAAAGTTAGTAATCTAAAATTAGTACCTGCTTTCCTAGAGTTTTAACAGATAGTTTGTTCATGTCTCAGTGCCTGTAGCTCAGAGGCTAGGGTGCCTGCCACATACACTGGAGCTTGCAGGTTCAAACGCAGACCAGTCCCGCCAAACAACAAAGACAACTACAACCAAAAAATAGCTGGGTGTTGTGCTGGGCGCCTGTAGTCCCAGCTACTTGGGAGGCTGTTGTGAGATAGATTACACCCCAGTAACTTTCTTCATTAATCTAAGAATTTGAGAGATGAAATAAAATAAAATTTCATGGAGTTCATTTTATATTATCTGTAATAAGTAAAAGTTTTACCAAAAACTAACCTTTAATTCTTTTGTTTCTTCTAATAATGCTGACAGTCTTCCTTCTACGTCAGTAGTTTTAGCTGCTATTGCTAAAGTCTCACTGTCTCCTTGTACAGGAACTGATTTTGCCTGAAAGTTGAAAGTGATAAGAAAATGTTTCTTTAAAGTCACAAACAATATCAACTTCCAAAGTGGTGATTTTAATTTTCTTGCTATTCTGATGGTTCACTAAGGAATAAGATAATTTCTTATGTATTTGTGTGCAAAACCAAGTGCTCCCCACTGACAGATGAGTTCCCCACAGCCAACAGCATCAAATCTTACCAGAGGATGAGGAAGGCTGGGCCAAGCTGCTTAGAGTCTGCCCAGAAAAGCGAGCAGTGAGGTGGCTCCCATGGAACCATCTTTGCTCACTAACTGCAGTGTCTGATGAGTAGTCTACCACATTCTCATGTTACTGACACACCCTCAGCATTTAATACGCAAAGAAGCCATTCTCTCATAAGCTTCTCTGAAGTCCACACTATCAGGTCATAAAGACAGGGAGATAAATTGAGCAAATGCCATTCATCAGTGAAATGCAAATAGGAGTAACTCTTAGGTCAGTTTTTCAGTCTTTCCCTGTTTTTTTCTAAAATACCAGTAAGTGGAAGCGATGATGCAACAAAATACCTAAAAACGTAGAAGTGGCTTTGGAACTGAGCAGAGGCTGGAGGAGTTCTGAGGTCATGCCAGATAAAGCCTGAGAGACCGCTGATAGCAGTATGGACACCACAAGGGGTTTCGGTGAGTGCTCAAAGAAAAGAGGAAACCTGCAGAGAAAGCTGGCTGCTGTAGGGCAGAGACGCACGCACGACTATCAGGTGCTTTGCAAAATGCAGGTGCTCTGGGGGGTCTCAGATGGAAATGCAGACCATGAAATCAGAGGAGAGGCTACTTGTTATACAGTAGCAAAGAACTTGGACAAACTGTGCCCAGCGTTTTATGGAAAACAAAACTTGTGATAAACTCGGATATTTCGCTCAGGAGATGTCAAAGCAAAGTGCAGAAGCCCAGGTGAGCTGGTTTCTCCTTGATGCTTATACTGAGATGTGACAGGAGGGAGATAAATTGAAGAATCAGAACGTCAAGATTCGGAAGATTCTCAGCTTATCTATATTGCAAAAAATGATGAAGTCTCTTCTAGAGAAAACATCAAGGGTTTTTGAATAATTTTATACCAACAGAAGGGCTGCCAGCTTGGAATAAACGGAGTAGAGATATGATGAGAGAAGGGGTCCATCAACAAAACAAATCATTAAGCAACTGAATAAACCATCCTGGGGCATCTGACTAAATAGGGCTGTCAGCATAAGTAAGAAGCTGGTGTCACTATAATACCGGCAAGTGTATAATCTAAAGAGAAGGTGCTATCTGATAAATCTGCTTCTTTTTCACGGTGGCTGACAAATAACAGCAAGTTTGGGATACTATTTTTCAGAAGGAAAAAGAAATACTTACAAATGTTTCTGTTTTCTGCAGTAGCTCCTGCTTTTCTGCCTGTAGGTTGGTGATCTCCACAGACTGTGAGTTTAACTGAGATTTTAATGTTGCCAGTTCCTAAGAGACAAAAAGAGTTGAGCTGTAACATTGAAAAGTATTAGTTTCCTAAAGGAAATGTCTACTTACAGGCAGAAATTTTAAAAAATAATTTTTCTTGACTCTACTCTCTAGAATCACAGCTTCCAAGTTTTAAAATCTAACTCTAGGCTCGGCACCTGTGGCTCAAGCGGCTAAGGCACCAGCCACATACACCTAAGGTGGTGGGTTCAAATCCCCAGCCCGGGCCTGCCAAACAACAATGATGGCTGCAACCAAAAAACAGCCGGGCGTTGTGGCGGGCGCCTGTGGTCCCAGCTACTTGGGAGACTGAGGCAGGAGACTTGCTTGAGCCCAGGAATTGGAGGTTGCTGTGAGCTGTGAAGCCACAGCACTCTACCCAGGGGGATAGCTTGAGGCTCTTGTCTCAAAAAAAAAAAAAAAAAAAAAATCTAACTCTAAACTCTTCTTGAACTATGGATTCAAGATAAAAAATTAAACACAGTTGTTTACCTCTGCTCCCTTCTGAGATCCCATCCAATCATAAGCAAATGAAGGCAGGGAAAAGGAAGGAAGGAAGGGATAAAAAGAAGAAGGAAGGGAAGGAAAAGGGGAGGGCAAGAGGAAGAAACCTGTAAGGTCACAGCGGCTGAGAGGAAAGAGCATGTTAACTGGGAGCCTCAGAGAGCAACAGCAGTGGGAACCTGGAATAGCGGACACCTGAGGCCAACTGCTGAGTATGCAGCTGGTGCAGAAGTGGTACCATTAGACATGTACAGGTATAGGTAAAAGATGGGGTTAAAAACTGTAGGCCTGGGTAAAAAACTGTGTAAGAAACAGATCAACAGGCCCAGTGCAGTGGCTCACGCCTGTAATCCCAACACTCTGGGAAGCCAAGGCAGGTGGATTGCCTGAGTTCAGAGTAAGACCCCTATCTCTAAAAACAGCCAGGTGCTGCAGAGGCTATTCTGGAGGCTGAGGCAAGAGGATGGGAGCCCAAGAACTTGAGGTTGCTGTGAGCTATGATGCTACAGCCCTCTATTGAGGGTGACAAAGTAAGACTCTGTCTAGGAAAAAAACAAAACACAATAGATCTCTGTCCTAATCTTGTACATTAGACAACTAGTCCTCCTTGGCTGGAGACTAGATGTTTATTATTTGGAAGCAAAAAACAGGACCTCTTTAGAGGAGGGGCTACCAAACACTGATGAAAAGTAGTAAAAACCAGGAAAGTAATTCAGAGTTTCTATTAATGTTGGAATTTTCAAACTTCTCCCAGTCAAAATGCTGCAGGATGAGTGAATTGAAACCAACAGACTCGCACCAAAGACTACAGGGGAAGGAATTTTACTTGCCAGCAGGGGGAAACTCAGCAGGTCCTCAGCCTTAAAGTAATGAGCCCCCACCCCCAAGCCCCCATCAACTCTGTCCCTGTCCTTTTATTGGACTTACAAGTAGACAGACAAAGGAATTACCATATTATTTCTCATTGGAGGTGTTAAATCATGTGCAGGCTTTTCAGAAGTGGAAGCAAGCATTAGTTTTAAGGACCCAGGTAGGAAGTGAAGTTTTACAAATTCTTAAGGCCTAGGTTACCAGGGGAGGACCTTCCAAGAGTGTCTGAGAAGCCTTTGTTTTTTTTTAGATTTTACTTTTCCTGGGTCTCCTGCTTCAGTAACAGTATAAAATAAAGACCAGTGGGGACTATCTTTTTTTGAGACAGAGCCTCAGGCTGTCCCCCTGGGTAGAGTGCCGTGGCATCACAGCTCACAGCAATCTTCAACTCCTGGGCTCAAGTGAGTCTCTTGCCT